AATGCCAGCAGAAACAGGGGTGAGAAAAACCCAGCTCACCCCTTCTCCTACCTTAGTGGGTTATCTGAATGGGTCTCTATGTGGGTCTCCAGTCCGTACTTGCAAACAAACTCCTTGAAACATACTGGGCAGTGAAAGACTTCATCGGCCTTCTTCTCCAAGTCACCTGACTGCCCGTCTTCCACCATCTTAGGGAAAAGGGAAAAATGAAGTCATGAAGGACGTCTCCCAGATGGTGTGGCTTCAGAAGAGAGGCCAACGCTAAGTAGAGACTTCTACGGAAAGGAGAGGGTTGCGTTCCCCACCCCTGGGTATTAAGGATATGACTGACCATTCATTGGCTCGTACAACAAATACTCACAGAACACTACCACTACCATCAACCCATCACCCCGTCCATCGATCCATCCCTCCATCCACTCGACGCGTTCTCATGCAACACCTGGTATCTGCCAGGCACTGGGAATCAGAGTGAGAACAAAAGAGTCCCTAATGCTTATGAAGCTTCCGTTTCAGCTAGAAAAATAAATATATAAAAAGTATGGAAACAATTCTAAAAGCTCTTCATTTCATCTGTGGGCTCAGTGGAGGAGCTCAAAAGAGGAAGTGCGCACAGGTACTCTTTTCTTAGACACTTCACAAAACCAGTGTGGGAAAACACAGGTTAAAAGCTTGGGGTGGATGTCTGCCAAGTCCCCATGCTGGGAAAACAAAGATTCGAGGCATCTCTGACAACAGTCCCCTGAGGAGGCACGTCTGTCCTAGGAGCTGAGAGGACCTTTTTAGCTGGTGCTGGGTCTTCTCTCTCCGACTCGGCATCGTGACTCGGTTTCCTCTTAGAGGACAGCCGCCTGCGCTTCAGAGGAGACGGAGGAGCTGCAGCTGTGGCACCGTTCGGGTCCTTCTCGTGGATCTTCATATGTCTGAAAAGAACACACACACACACAGTGATCTAATGAAACAGCCATTTCACTTCTTTCTTTTAAATTGCTTATATTTGGTATTGGTACTTAAAATATTTTAGTTAAGAGATACAGGGTATAAATTATACAGTAACTTCTTTTTAAAACTTTATAATTTCCTCGAACCTCTCTTAAAGCTCTTGCAAGTGCTATCCCGAAGTGTTGCTCGATGTCTTGCTGTTTGTTGCAAGATGTTCACGAACTTAACTGGCATTAGTGAGATGAAAACGAACTATCTGGTGACCTCTTCTACTTACTCAGACAAAAAATACTATTTTAGGACACATAATTCTATGTAATAATGAATTCCCAGGTATCTAAACTGTTCCACGAGCTCATAAACCACGTGGTAACTCTGTATTTGTCCCAGAATTCACCCCCCGACCCTCACCAACTACCCAGTGTACATGTTTCTCTCTTCTGCCTTTGGAAGCATTTTGGGGTCAAAGCTGAGACGTGCTGACAGAGCAGATGTCCACAGTGCTTAAGACCTGAAAGACTTTCCATGTTGCTCACGGTATTACGGAGATTTATAGATCCTGAGAGTAGTTCAGACGTGGAATGAGAAAGTTACATGTTGCAACTCAGGACTAGGATGCACATATAAAAGGAAAGTCTTACATATAATATGTTTATGTCTGTTCCAAAAAGTGAGTCTTATGGGTGACCCAATTTAAGTGAGCTTCCTTTATTAAATTCTAAAACAAACACCCTAAGAACAAGGTCCCAAGATATATAGGAAAAGAATGACATTACAGATAGTCTCAATTTCCCTGTTTTGTAACATAAAAATTGGCTGGTCATGGTGGCTCATGCCTATAGTCCCAACTACTCAGGAGGCTGAGGCAGAAGGATCATTTGACCCCAGCAATTCAAGGCTGCAGTGAGCTATGATGACACCACTGCACTCCAGCCTGGGCGACAGAGTGACCCTGTCTCTCAAAAAAAAAAAAAAAAAGGAAACAGTTTAGTTTTGTTAATGACAATCATCATCAGCATCACTTGACTAGGGCTAGACTGTGCCAGATGTAGGACTGCAGCCACTGCTCTTGCTGAATAACTTACAGAGTTATCTTACTTGAGAAGTTCTCAGGAGTGGGGAAACATAGCAAAGTTTTCATGAACTATCCTGTCACAGAGTTCTCCTCCCTCTGTTGCTATGTTTAGAGACAGGCTAAGGATGTGAAGGCCAAGACAGAGGGGAAGGTTGGTGAGTCATGAGCAGCGCCCACGATTTCGGGTGGCTGAGGTGATGCCTTTCCCACACCTAACCCCACCAGGGACACAGAGCCCTCTCGTCTGTGCGTGTGCAATGCTGGAGACTGCCACGGGCCTTCTCTGGCTGGGGTACCATAGATGCACTCTTCAAGGCAGAGGGCAGCCTCACGTTACCCCCTGCCGAAACAGCACCAGCCCCACCGCCCCCCCCACTGGCTAGACCTGCTCGAGATGCGGCCTAACCTTCGAGGACGTGGGACTCAGGAAGGAGGCTCAGGCCAAACCTCTGCTTTCCTGGAGGGAATCTACGTGCTGGGGCAGAAAGATCTAGTGGGAGAACACGAAAAGGAATCACAGACTACCCCCGTGCTGTGCCCACATAACTCCTTGCCTGGATTGGTAGGAAAGGATGCTTTCTTATTCAGTTCTTGGCCACCCCAAGGCCTTCAGGCAAAGTTAACGGAAACAAATAGCTTTGTTCCAACTATCTCCTCCATTCCAAAGTGACCATGATTTGAAGAGACCATCACTTAATATCAGCGTTTAGACGGAAAAAAGGCTGGCAAGTTTCTTTTGGCATTTATTGCATGGCACACCTCAATTTTGGAAATGCTAATTTTGTTTCTTTAAAAAGCATCTAAGAATTGAGGAAGCATGATAATATAAGGGATTATAAATTAATATTAAACCTGCCCTATCAATAAATTACTCAAAATTAGTTTTAACTGACAAAATTCACACTCTTTTCTACAGCTGATATGATGAGATGAGAATATTAGAAATTACAGAATGACAACTGTAAACAGTTCATGGCCCATTTCAAGCTACATCTTTTCAATCACGTGACACAATGTTTCTAGAAATACAAAATGATGCTTTATCTATTCTGTTCTTGGGATCTATGAGAGAAGCTGTTTTCACAAAGGACAGGAAGAGGAGAGCCTAGTGGGGACTTCACACAGATCGCTGCCTCCACTCTGCAGATGTGGCACTGAGGTGCAGACAGGCTGAGCTGCCCGTGGCCTGGCAGCCCGAGCCGACCCACGTGTGCGACTCTGATGTCCGTGCTCTTCCCCCACCCCCACCTCCCTCCAAAGGCCACACCAGCCAGTTAACGCTGCTCTGGGTCACCGGCTGGAATCTCAGGGCTATAACCTGAACCTGGACATGCCTCTCTGGCGGACTGTGGCGCAAGGTGGAACAAGTGGTACAGACTCTAACCAAATTTGGACAGCGGAGAGAAGGGCGCAAGGAGCCCTTGACTCAGGCAAAGAACGTTCCCCACCTCCAGAATCGCTCAAGGACTGTGCAGCCTCTGTCCTTGTCTGAAAAACTAGGGCTGCCCTTGAACGGCACCACTTCCAGAGGCAGATGGAAGAAAGCAGGTCAGGGCAGCCTAACGGACAGCGGCTCATGCCAGTCCTCTGCCCGAGCCCCGAGAGCCTCAGCATCAAAGCACAGGCCCTGCTGCGGCTGCTGGCCACCCCATGGGCAGTTCTCAATTTGTCCTCCCAATCATGTGATAACCGACAGCAGCAGGCTCCTTTAACTCCTTTAAGACCTCGATTCAGTCAATGGTGAACTTTCAGGGCCGGAGAGGTCCAGCCAGGTCGACGTTGGACGTGATGTAGTCAGAGATCACCCCACCTGCCCCCCGCTCTGCTTCCCTGGCCTCTGACAGCAGGAGTGGCAACTTTAGCCGCCCATTTCCTCCCAAAAGCTCATGGGAAGTGGACAATGATGGGCCTCTAATAGCCTCTTCCCCTCAGGGTGTGGCCAGAACAGAAAGCAGGGGTGGCCAGGAAGAGACAATCCTAGTCTTTGGAAGGCACGGACATGTTTTTCTCTCAGGTTTTATTTCAAGGGCGAGTCCAGCTAATTTCCGAGTGTCGGTGAGTGACAACAAGCCTCTGAGCCGGATGGGAGCTGTTACCCAGCCCCCGCTCTGCACAGAGCCCCTCTCCACGGCAGACTGGAGAAGTCACCATTTAGTTCTGCCTGAATGCTTCCAGCAACAAGGACTTCTCCATTTTCACCAGGTGTTCTAATTGTTAAAAACCATCTTCCCCATGTTGAGTCAGAGATTCTGTCCTTACTTTAAGCGTCTGTCTGTCCTCAGGGGCAACACAGCATCCGCTGCATTCTCTTCCATGAGGCAGCCCTGCAAACACTGCAAGAGCATGACTGCATTTCTCCAAAGTTTTCTCTTTCCAAAATTAAATGACTCCAGCCTCCCCAACCCCAGCTCTGCTCGCGTCTGTTGAATCCCACTGGTTGCTAACTAACCTTGGAATACTCGCCAGTTTGCAGATATCCTTCAAGAAATGTTGCATCCAGGGTGCAGAGCTGGGACTACGACCTCCAGATGCTACGTGAACGGAGTCTGGGTTGGTTCTGGTGTGTGTGCTTAGCAGGGTGTTACATCCCCCAGTTCCTGCTGTTGTCAACTATGATCCCTAGGGTTCCTTCATGCAAAGTGCTGTCAAACCGTGTCTCCTCCATTCCATACCTGAGCCGTGACTGGGCGTGTTTTCACCTTTCAGATTGGCAAGGATAAGAAATCTTACAATATGCAGCTTTGGTGTGGTTCAGAAGACTGGGACTCTCACGCGGTGTTGGTGGGAGTGAAAATCAGTAGCCACCTTTGTGCAAAGTGGCTGAGCAACAGGGATCAGAATTTTAAATGCGTATGTCCTTTGCCTCAGTGATTCCACTTCTAGAAATTTGTCTTAAGGACTAGCAATTAGACAAGTGTGCAAAAATCTAGATACGAGGATTGATGTAACATCAGAATTCACCGCTAGATAAAGCTGCACAAACACTAATGACGACGCTGGTCCCAATACTTTAAACTGGCCACTCTGCTTTCCTCTCGCCCTCCTGTTGTCCGTTCTCTACACAGCAGCCAGAGTGAGCTTCTAAAACAAAGGTCCAATCGCACCTCTCCCTGCTTGAATTCCTCTGACGCTCCTGTTCTTAGAATTAAATCTCGCCCCCACCTACTTCCTGGACCTCATTAGTGAGCACTCTTCATCCCAAGGCCCTTTCAGACGGAGTAGCCCTCTCTCAGGGTCCCTCAAATTCATCCAACTAGTTTCAGACTCTGGGACTCAGGCACTTGCTGCTCCTTCTGCCTGGGAGGCAGCTCCCCAGACCTTGCCAGGCCCGGCTCCTGCCGTCCAGGTTTCAGGTCACACACCCCTCCTGCGAGGCCCTCCCCGAGACCCCACACCCCCTCCTTGAAGATGCTCTCAGGCCCCCCACCCAGTCCTGCTCCCTCCACAGCACCAGCAGGAAATGAACACATCCTTATTCACCCCTCACCCCCAATCGAAAGTAAGTTCCATTCCAGCAAGAACCCAGCCTCTCCTTTCTCTGTGCTAGCCCTTGGACACACAGTAGGTAGCAAGTATCAGCCAAATGGCTGACGGAAGAAGAAACAAACAAATATTTGCTGAACCCTTGAACAGGCAAAGGAAGGAAGGAAGGAGATATATGTAGAAAATGTTTGTTTCACTCAGAGTATCACTATAACATGCCCTCAGGTTCCAAGACACCTTAGAATTTACCTTACGAGGTTTTGGTGAAAACAGACTCACTGTGAGATTGTACAGTAAACAGTGCCCCACTGAAGGGACTTCAGTGAAAAACACCCTAACAATGAATGCTGAAGACACGTTTATTTATTTTTATTGGAATTATCTGCACTCACTGATTCAAAACAGTGCCTATACTCATAGAGA